CGTTCACCGATCTGGGACCCGATCGTCGTTTGGGTCACGTTTTAGGTGGTCACGATTTATTCTGCCCGTGACAATAGCAAAAAATAAAATATATATATAAATAGTTTTTAGTATTGTAGTATTGTAATATAAACTAGGAAACAGGTGTAAGCAAAAAGTTAATATCCAGCCAAAATTTAAAAATAAATGTTGAGCGGCAATGCCTAGAATTGAAAATGATTGGCTAAAAATAAAAAAAATGATTGGCTAATAGTAAGTATAGTAACGATCATCTAATCTAAAAATAGGTGCGGACATAAATGCATACAAAATCATGTCTATCATTACACTATAGATCATTCTCCACTACACTTTGGACAATTATTTATTTTATATTTAACAGTAATTCTGGTTTATTTTATAAAAGTTAATTGCTTGGTAAGTTAGTATAGATGCGGTTTAAATTATATATATATGAGTAATACAGTATTATTTAATTTAATATAGGCTTAATATTGTAATTTGTCTCTAGTAAGAATAATGATAACAGAAAAATAAAACAGAATCATTACTTAAAATTTAGTAAATAAAAAGTAAAGCTTTGTTAATAATAAATCATTTATTTGTATACTGGTATACAGTATCCTGATATCGCTATTATTGATCATTGTTTATTTAATTGGTTGGCGATCACGTTTTGATCAACATTATCACTGTGATTGATTTGATTGGTTAATTGGAATTAGCATAGTTTGATCAACATATGGGGTTTTTGCCTTGAAAATCAAGTTATGGAACATATGATTTACTATGTCCCATAACGTGATTTTCAAGGCAAAGACCCCATATGTGACATATTGAATGGAGTCAAATCCACCCAAATGTTCAGTGTTTGCAAAATATGGACATGGACAATATGGACCAATGGACATGGACGTTTATGGACTATGTCCATATTGTCCATATTTTTTCATTGGGCATAGGGCACTTAGTCCAAATCAAACATGCAAGCTTCTGTTCCGAAATGTTCCAAATCGAAAGAGTAAGGCTGAGGAAATATTTCGAAATTTCGAAAAAGATGATATGGACATGGACACTATTTGGATTAGTCCATGTCCATATTTGTCCAAGTCCAAATAAAATTTTTATTGGACATAGTCCAAATGCAAACACTGCATATGTTAGGTAGTGTCCTTCGGACAATTATGAACCGATTTAAGATTTGGATAAAGGTTAGATTTGGGATTGAAAGAAGTTATAGTTTGTTTTGTTAGAGTATGGGAAGCAAAATTTTGAGTTATTATATGTATCCGTGTTTATACACTAGTGTACAAATAATAATTGCCTTTATACAGTATAATATAAGTACAGTATATAGATATGCTGTATATTATATAGATAAAAAAAAAATTATTTTTTTAATATATATAAAAACATACAGGTATCTAAGTTAATGTCACGAAGCTTAAAACGATTGAGGCTGGAAACTTTTAAGAATGAGTAGTTATTTTTGAACTCGACCAATTTTATATATGACATAATAACATTTTGGTCTGGATTCAAAAATAATTACCGACAAATTTATTGGGTACACAAATTTTGAACTACGTCACGTGTGAGAACAACGGAATTACAATCATAACGCGGGAGTTCACTATAACGAGATTTGAAGATTTGATATAGTGAAGAATTTTTGAATTCCGAAATTATCAAACTTTAACTCGATATAGTGAAGTACATGTTATTCTCTCTATACAAGCTATAGTGAGAATTTTGTTCTCAGCCCGGGTTTCACTATAACGAAAGTTGTACCGGATACTTTACTCCGAATCTATTTTATTTAGCTATAATTGGTAATTTAAGATTTCATTTATATTAATTAATCCTTATCATTATTGTTACAGTATTTATAAAATTATATATATAATATAAATAAATTAGGTAATATATATTATTTAATTTACAATTATATACTGAGTATAAGATCAAAATATTTTTTTGCACGTTTAGCAATGAAGTGTGAAAAGTGCCAAATTGATAAACTTTCTGAAGAATTTCCATTTGGTACAATTAGTTCAAAATGTGAACATATTACATCTTGGTGTTTAAAGGTATTGCATTATTTCTTTAATACAAACGCGTTTTGGATAATCATTTATATTTAATTTTTTGGTTAGTGTCTTGCAATATATCTGAAAGAAACACAGCATCAATGTCCCATATGCAAAGCTGAATTAACTGAACAAGAATTTGATGATTACTGCTTGCTTTGGGATAATGCAAGCTTTAAAATTGATTTTGAAAGCTTCTCACAAATACGTACTGAATTTTCTGAACAAAATAATTCAAATTCTGGAATGTTTTATGTTGTCCGATTAAATGGTGAAAAGTTTGAATTAAAAATATCAGAAATCAATACAGTTAGAGAGTTAAAATATAGATTGATGAAGTATACAAAGATAGATATTAGTAGACAGATGCTAATATATAAAGATGTAGAACTCGAAGTGAATAAATTATTCCTTTTTCGTTTTTTTTTTGTTTTTTATAATATTATTTTAATCAATATTTTCTTAAAGGACGGCGTGGCTAATACACTTACAAGTTATGGAATTCGCGAAAATAGCCATATTCAACTCATTGTCATACTTTATTCTATTTCGAAAAAGGAAGCTGTAAAAAACCTAGTATTTGATCTATATTGGGGTTACAATTCAAAAATGGACTTTCTCGATGGCACTTGTTTGATATATAAAGGCAATAATTTATGGAAAAAGTACGATTATAAAAATAAGGTTTATTCTGAAGTATCATATATCTCGCATTCCGGAGATATCATGGATAGTAAAAATGGTTTGTTCTAAGATTTAAAAAAACACTTTATGTTACATTTTGATGAGTATTTGACAAACCCTAAATCATTACAGCTACAGGGCACCATAAAATTACGGTAAAACTCGATCAACTTCCTGCTAAGGTTACACAACTTTATTTAATCTTAAGTTCATTTGTATCACCAACAATTGGCCATTTTCGAGACCCAAGCTTTAAATTATATGATGAAGCGAGACCTGATAAGCAGCTATGTAATTACAATATACATAGGGCTGACAAGTCACAAGCTGTTATAATGTGCCTTATTAATCGGTCATATTATGGTGAGTTTTAACGTTAGAAACATATATTATAAGGTTTATGTTTACAGGATTTTTCTTTTTGTGATTATATATAGGTAAGTGGAATGTAATTGAAGTAGGTAGACTATCACAAGGAAACGCCTTGAACTACGGCCCAATAATGGAAAATATCAAGGATATTAATAAGCTGGAATGAAATTCATTAATTAAAGTGATCCTTACGTATAAGCATCTTATTAATAAAAGGGTGCATTCGTTAGTTCTCACTAAAATAGCATACCCTAAAGCATTTCTGTAACAAGCCTTACTTACCAAATCATTATATTGGTCTTATTGCATAGTTTGTTGTGTTTTATCCATGTGGTGATTCCCATAACCGGTCCTGTCCACAATACACTATTGTCGCGAATAACTCTAATCACTAACTCTAAAAATGCACCTCAAAAATTTTTAGGCTTGTCTATTTTTTACATTGTACAATATTTCATTTTAATTCAAATTTATTGTTATTTATATTATAATGATAAGAAATATTTACTTTTTATTAAATTCATTGTCAAATTAATATACAACTCTTCACTTGGACCAAATTCTCCTATAAACAAAAACAAAGATTTTGTTGGAGACAGTTGAAGAAACAATACAAAATAATGGTTTTTACAAAGATTAGCCAGATTCTCTTTCTTGCCAGAGACTTCTTTGTATATTTAGTATGCAAATCAAAAAGTGTTAGTATATAAGATAACTGGCAAAAGGTGGTGTCTTTATATGCAAAATTTTGGTAAAAGAAGTCTTTTGTCAACAAAGTTACTTGTATTTGGCTTTAAAAAAAAACCAAAAAATAAGGCTTTCATTACATTCTCTTAAAAATTTGAAGTTTATAACTCTGCAAACTTTTTATTATATTCTTGCTTTGCTTTGGTAGTTTTTTAGATTTTTTTTGCCAAAAAGTAGGAAATTTGATATACGTATCTTCTTTAAAAAATTTATATTGTTTACTCTGTTTAAATTGAAAACAGATATTACAAAGGTTTAAAACAAATACTGATAATTTGAAAGTTTTGGCAAGTTTTACTCTATTCTAAACATATATATATTTTATAATATATTAAATTAAAGTTGAGTATTATAGAATTTTTAATTTTGTCTAGCACAAATTATAATAGTACAATAGTGTTTTTATAGATTTTGTCTTTTTTTGTTGATTCTTATCTAGTCTAACTTTGCTTTTTTTATCTTTATCTTTTTGTAATTTGGTTTTTTGCTTAAATTATATAGTTATTTTCTCTTTTAGATTACTCTATTTTCTTAATATTTTTTTTACTTTTTTATTATATATTATTTTTACTTTTTGTTTTTTTGTTTAATAAAGAAAGAGGCTAATATAACTATTCTGCCAAGATCTAGTTAAAAAAATTTAAAGTTGATTTTTAATAGAGTAACAAAGTCTTTTGCTTTATCTATAAAAGAGTGTAACAGGTTATATCTAGATACTTATAAAGTAACAATATAGATAGGTAAGATTTTTTTTTTTTTTTAAGCGATCCTGCCTTTATTCATGTGAACTATTATATGATTTTTACACCCAAGTGTACAAAATTCTTACAACTTATTGCTCTAATATAATAAAGACTCACCAAGCATAAATGCCCAATGCAACCTGCTATAACAACTATTTGTCTACTCAGGGATTATGAACTCACTTACAATTTCATATTCCAATGGATACCCCCCTCGATTACAGACTGGCCATTGTATACCTCGTCAGAATCACCAATCTTTCTTCTAACTTTTTCTACCAAAATCTGGGCAGAATAACTATCTTCTACTCTTTTATAAGCAAGATTATATATACCACGTTTATGAATGACCAAAAACATTTAGGAAAATGAAAAGAAAATAAAACCAAAAACCATAGAAAGAAACTATTCTAAATATAATTCCATCATAAATGGACTAGCAAAAAAAGTAAAAAAGAAAAGTCAGTAATCCTGACAAGAAAAAAGAAAAATGCACTATTATAACTCATGCCAGGCAAGTATAAAAATTATATGCTCATAGCAACACTGCATATCTCTACTGTAAGGCTTCGCCTATACTATTAATTCCTCTCTGACCCTACTATCTCTGGAAGTCTTCTTCTAATCAGATACTGTCATCGTCTCATGCCAACTTTTCAGTTTCCAGCGGCCCTGAGCCAAAACTGGTAGCACCATGTCTACTTATGCCAGACATGTGATTGCCATCTACCATGTCAACTAGATATGGGAATGTAAACACTGTATAACCTATACCGATCATTTGAAGGGAGTAAACCAAATCCCTACTTTTTGTCAAAATTTTTGAAAGACTGACAGGAGGGCGAGTAGAAGAAAAAAAAAAGAGGCTATCTGGCCGAGTAAAAGAGTGCAGCTTGAAGAAAGGCAAATAATTGTTGTTTCCCCTGTGTTTCTTATTTCGAAGTAACAGCCTAAGTGCTTCATTGACAGAGAAGACTCCAGTTTCTCCACCAAGATTTTGTATCTAAGAGCACACACCTCCTGCCAGTTATCTTGTATGCCAACGCTTTTGGCTTGCATGCTAAATGCACTGCTTATAAAGGAGTCCCGGAAGAGAAAACCCGTTAACCTCTAGGCAAACTACACATTAGGCCATGACTCTCCAACAAGATTTTTGTTTTTCTTCGATAGGAAATTCTGGTCCAGATGATCATCGATAGGTAAGATTTTAGTTTGTTTATTTTTGATTTTTTTTGTATAGATTATTTCTATTTTTTTTTTTTGTATTAAGGTAACCTCTTTGGTCTGGGAATATTTTATTAAAATATAAATGATGTTTTATAATATAATTACAATAATAGTATATCAAGCCACACATGCACTTTTGGTATCTAATTTAAGTAGTCTGCCCAAAGTGTTAATGCTATGCTAAGAGTTTCACACTATTTGCTATATCTGCACCTAACTATAAAGATTACCCATTTAAATTATCTAATTCTAACTACTACTAATAGCCCTTTAACCTAGGGGTTTCTTACTATTTAGAAGTAGATTTTGATATCACCTATATAGATTTTGCATCCTACTTTTGAACTTACTAACTTGAGCTAGTTTACTCTCAAGATAAACCTAACAAAGTGGTATATATTCCACACATGTATTTATCTATATATTTATATAACTTCTTCCTAATTAGTATATATTGACCTGCTATTTCATATATATATCTCATACTACTTTTGGGATGCTGCTATTCTATAGATGTTTTTTAAGCACCAACCTTCCTAATTAGATATTTATTATGTATTTATTTGCTATTATTCAGTTTACAACAACCCCAGTATTCACACTTGAACTGTCTTCTTATTTAGATTCTTTTTTTTTTTTTTTTTTTAATATTAAGGTGACTACTTAGGCTCTTGGCACTTTATTAGTACAAGCAGTAGGCCAATGTTAATTTTAGCACCGGCTTTATATATTTTATCAGTATCATGAGAGTACAACTAGTCACATGTACAACTTTTGATTGCCTATTTAAGTAGTCCGCCCGAAGCGTTAGTGCTATGCTAG